TTTAGAATAGAGTGCCTACAAAGTTCAGGTACAACATAATAAATACTTATAAAATATTGTATGTTCTAAAATATTTTATTATTTGGCATCACCACATACAACAATAGTATAGGCCTACACTTGTCAAAATGTAGGCGGAACCATTCTAACAATTAAGTTAATATAAACAAATAAATAAATGTATTATATATTATATACAGCAATATAAATACACCCACACACTAACGCACGCACACACATCCCAGCTAACAATATAACGTTGTGGCAACGTTGTCACAACGTTTCACTTACGTTGTGAAAACGTTGTGATACAACGTTGTGGCAACGTTATTTTGTGGACTCACCCTGAACGTTGCCACAACGTTGTGATACAACGTTGTGGGAACGTTGACAATATCTGACAGAAATAACAATAATAACATTGAAATAACATGACGTAATTAATTAAGGTTATAAGTTAACATGTGATAATAGTATAGTAAAGACAATATAAAGAAAAAATAAATATCAGAAAAAACTTCAGTAGTCTTTTACAATAGTGATGAGTAGTTAACAAAAGTTTTCTGAATGATACAGTACAGAGTGACACATGAAGAAAAAAACCCAGGAAAAAAATTTCAGCAAAGTCTGTACAAGTGAAGTGAAAGACAATATGAAGAAAAAATAGATAACAGGAAAAAAACTTCAGTAGCTAGTCTTTTACAAAAGTGACGAGTAGTTAAAAAATGATAGTTTTCTGAGTGGTACAGTACAAAACAGTGCATACAACATGAAGGAAAAATAAGCCTCGTCTACACGACGAACCTTAACTAGAGTTAAGCTAACTCGAGTTAGCGATTATTACCAATTTATTATGCGTGCGTGCGTGTGTATGTAAACGTGCGTGCGTGTGTGCGTGCGTGCATGCGTCCGTGCGTGCATGTGCACGTACACGTGCGTGCGCGCGTGTGCAGGTACACGTTCGTGCGTGCGTGCGTGCGTCCGTGTGTGTGTGCGTGCGTGTGTGTGCAGGTACACGTGAGTGCATGCGTGTTCACGTACACGTGCGTGCGTGTGTGCGTGTGCACGTACACGTGCGTGCGTACGTGCGTGTGTGTGCAGATGTGCGTGCGTGAGTGCGTGCGTGCGTGCGTGCGTGTGTGTGCAGGTACACGTGCGTGCGTGCGTGTGCACGTACACGTGCGTGCGTACGTGCGTGTGTCCAGGTACACGTGCGTGCATGCATGTGCACGTACACGTGCGTGCGTGCGTGCGCATGTACACGTGCGTGCATGAGTGTGTGCGTGCGTGCGTGCGTGCGTGCGTGCGTGCGTGCGTGTGCACGTACACGTGCGTGCGTACGTGCGTGTGTCCAGGTACACGTGCGTGCATGCATGTGCACGTACACGTGCGTGCGTGCGTGCGCATGTACACGTGCGTGCATGAGT